CTCCTCCCCCTCTCTCTCTCTCTCTCTCTCTGTCTCTATCTAATTTTCTTGAAAATATATGTAAAAGCATTAATTTTACTTTTTTAAATTCAGCTTTTATAATTTGAAATTCCGATGTGTGGCATTATGTAAAATAAATTGTCTGTTTTTATGATACCGATGAAACTCATAATATAATCAATAATTATATGAATAAAATTCAACATATGCTGTTCTATATTTTACATTTTGTTTATTATTTTGCCAAAATCTAAAAGTTGAAATTTTAATAGACATATTAATTATATTAATATTTATAATATAATATTATTAAATTATGTAAAATTATATAATATTAAATAATAAATGTAAATATCTTACTTTAGATTAAGTTTTGAATATTTCGTAGTTCCCTCTGCGTGATTTTCTTATACATAATTTAAACCTTTACAATGTTTTACATTGTTGGACTATTTCCCTCAGATAGATCTATATAACTTCCCGAGTGTTCTACTTTTTATGAAAAAAAATATAATCATTCGCAAAAGTACTCTGATAGTGAAAGAAATATGTAAAAGTCACGTTAAAAGACGTGATCACGCACGAGCCATTGATTTTTATTTCGAAGTCGACACTTTTATCGGGCAAATGCTTATGCTGACACACATTTATCGTCTTATCGTGTAAGAAAATATTGAGATATACGGATACGAAAAGTCTGTTACAAGAACGCCCATTTATATATGTAATAACAATTGAGCGATTTTTAAAATTTGTAGCAATTTTTCTCTGTATATACGTGAAAAGACGTCACTCAATATTTTATAAGAAAATTTGAAATTTCAAATCATTTGAAATTTTTTTTCTTCTAGTCGCATTTAAATTAAATTTTTTTAAATTAAAATTTAAATCAAATTAAATTTTTAATTGATAGCTTTTGATCTTGCCCATGATGCTGCAAGTGATTGCGACGTGCGCGCAACGTTTACATGACGCGAATTTAAGTGCTATTATTAATCGACATGTTATGCGGGGCGTCGCTTTGGTGCTCGGCTACAGCGTCAACCTCCTGTTAAGCCGTTTATAGTCGCTAAAGCGCATTAAGACACATGGCGAGAAGGTATATCTCGTCTTTTGAGCGTGAAGTTACGCCAACTACTGGTTCCGGTGCAAACTTGCCACCGGTCATTGAGCTTCATTAGCCCGACCGCATACGTTAAATCCTAATTAGCCTCATTTACTCCGGCCGTGCGATTAAGATCGCACGCCTCGGCCTCAGAGCGAAGGTTGCGCGCAGTTTCGTCATAAAAGATCGAAGTCCGTGCCAAAGTGATTAATCATTTCTCGTCCATCTTTGAATATTTAGCCTTTTAATAATTATGAGTAACTAACTATAATTATATAAGTAAATTTTGAATTTAAAAAGCTAAATATTCGAGCTAAATATTAAAAAACTAAATATTTGAAGATGGGCGAGAAATGATTAATTATTCATAACTCATTAATTTATAATTTGCTTTAAACTTTCTTACTATTTATTATGCTATTGACTTATGTTAGTGATTTCTTAATGGACTTCTCGGTTTTTAATTATTATCACAAGTCAATCTGAACTTAGAGTAGGAGTAATTGCATCAACGAGAATCTGTCGTTGTCGTTATTAACCACGCCCGGAAATTGAGTAATCATTAGTCATATTAACACGTACGTGATTTAAATTAGAGAAAGTCAATTTAACGATGTTTTGCCTATTTTTAGTCGCTCTTTAATCCTGTCTTTTTTTTAATCTGTTTCGCAGTATCGTAGAATGAAATAAATGGGAATATGTTATACCGATATATAACAGATATGTAACAGATATGTAAATTTGTAACTTTGTTCACCTACAAGTGTATCGAGTTGTGTTCGGCACATCTCTACAACTGTGCTACTTCTTGTTTCGCAAGTTTAGACGAGCCGATCATGAAGAGAAACATCGGGGACCAATTACTAGTTGTTCCGTAGAGATCACGAAACAACAGGCAACAACTAATCATACATCGTGAGTCACGATACGAATCGTGATACGAGCTCCAATAACGCAGCGCGCAGCGAACCCTTCGTCGATTCCGCAATCCTTTATCCGCTCTCCTTTTAATCGTCCCACGTTTCGCGGAACGGAACACGCGTGTGTCGAAAATTGAATTGAATTACTTCAGCTCGTAGGTTGTTTAATTTCATCACTCGATATAAACGAAGCACTTTCGCCGTGCCGATATAAAAGCGCGAGGAAAAAAAACGTAATTTTGAGAATATATTAAATCGCGTAAAAGCACATAAATCACCGGACCACGCAACAACGTACACGCGTCGCCTCGCCCCGAGATTGGGAGATCTAAACCGGTTCCCGCCTGCTAGTTCTGTATCACTCGCAGACGGCGAGTGACGCTAAATTAATTAAACGATCCGACGGCGATCGGAGAAAAATTGCCGCGCCGTAATGCGTGGCAAGCTGCACACGAGCTGCGCACGTATTCGCACTCGATGCCAGTCGTAATTAAGAATTCTAGCGACGAATCAATTAAGCCCCCGCATAGATAAACGATATATTTTACCGGATGGCATACTCTGCGCTAATGGCGTGTGCGTGTTAATGACAGCTCCTTAATGCAATACAATAGACATCCCTTACCTATATACACATATAGACGGAGAGAGAGGGAGAGAGAGAGAGAGAGAGAGAGAGAGAGAGAGAGAGAGAGAGAGAGAGAGAGCGC